GGAAGGCTGGGCCCCGGAGGCTGAGACAGGCGGCAGGGGCCCTGCTCGGGGCGCCCGCCTCCGGCAAGGCCGGGCCCTGGGGTGCCATGGGGAGCGCACACTCCCCGCCGGGGGCAGCACGGGTGGTCCGGGGCACCCGGTCTCTCCGCAGGGTGCACCGGCGGCCGGCTGTGCCCGCCCCTGGGGGGGCCCTCAAGTTGCCAGACAAGCCGGGCCGGGCCCCCACAGCAGCACCTGGCCAGCAGCTCCGCCTCGGAGCCCCCGCCGGCCCGGGGTGCCTGTGGCCGCCCGCCACCCTCAGCCCCCGCCTGCCTGGGCCTCCAGGCCTCTCGCTCCTGCGTGTGCTGCTCTGCACCTCACTAGGGCCCCAGGGCCTCGCCGGGCGCACCCCTCCGCTGGAGCCCTGGGTGTGGGCGTCCCTCTCACCCACCACCCCACCCGGGCTCGGCCCAGACCCCGGGAGCGGCCCCAGCCTCCGGCTCCTGCTCTGAGGGCCACCCTCAGGCCGCGGCCCTCACCCGGGTCCGGCGGTGGCACAGGCCGTGACCGGGGCTGGACTGAGCGGGCCCTGGGGTGGCCACCGGCGGCCTTTCTGACAGAACCCCAGCTCCCGAGTCCGGCCGAGGACGCCCCGCACCACCCGCCTGCGCGGCCGCCTCCTGCCTGCCACCCCTTCCCTGCCTGCCCTCAGCCGAGAGGACAGTGGGCCTCGGGCAGCGGGACCCTGGCGGCATTGTAACAGGGGGTCCCCAGGAAAAGGGGAGGTTCCAGGTTCCCTGCCCCACCCAGAAGGAGGGTGGAGCTGAGCAGAGAAAAAGGAGAAGAGAAGGAATCAGGAGAGAAGAAGAGAAGGAAGCGGGATGGAGAACGAGGAGGCCCAAGGCGCCGGGGCCTGTGAGGACGCCGCGCTGCTTCCCGGCCCGGGGCTGGCTGAGGCGGGTGCGGGCGAGAGACCTCAGGGAGGGGACCGTGGCCCGTTATACTGATGTTGATGTGGCTCTCTCCCTCCCAGACTCGTCCGGCCCTGTCTGACCCTTTTCCGTGGGTCCCGGCCAGAAGGTGCTTCAGTCTCGTGGCGGCTTTCAGGCCTTGCTCTGGGCCACTCCCTTCTGGGTGGACTTTTGCCCACGAGGGGACGGGTCACTTCAGGTGTTTGATTTAGAAGTTATATTCCTTGTGTTTCGTGTTGTATATCCACTGTATTAAAGTCCCTTTGCGTTAAAGTTTTGTTTTGTCTTGACGCGGCGGATGGCAGAACCCACTTAGAGCAGGCAGGTTTGGGCTTCGGGGTGCCCCTCTCCCCCTGTCCTGAAACAGATTTGGTGCCCAACGTGGGGACCACCCTGCTGCAGTACCACCTGCTTACCGGCCCCTGCCCTGGGCGTCTGCTGAGGGGCAGTCTGGGGGCGCCGGCTGCGCCCCCCTCCCTTCACCTCACTGGCTCCCTCCGAACCTAGAGACCCCGCAGGAAGCTCAGCAAACAGCTGCCCCCAGGGCAGTCCAGGGAGGTGGCAGGCCCCTTCCCGGGCAGCGAGGCCAGCCATGTGCTCAGTCCGCAGGGCCAGGCCCCGCTCGTGGCCGCCCCCAGCGGTCACCGGGAGAAGTGCAGGCGGGCAGGGGTCGCAGCGCCCCTGCAGGTGCCAGAGGTGACCCGCGAGTCCAGGAGGCGCCCGGGCCCCTGGGGCCTGAGGCTTCTGGCAGCAGCCAGGCTTAAAGGGGCGCTCAGCCCCCGGGGCCGGCGGGGTCACAGGGCGCCCCACAGCCTCACCCGTTTCCACGTGGTAACGCAGGTAAAACGCTCTTGTTACCTTCTGAGAGGACGCGGCCTCCGGGGAGGACTGTGAAAGGCTCCAGGGGCCGTCTCAGGGGTCACCGCTCGGCCGGAGTGACCACGCGGCCAGCAGACCCTCCTGTGTCCTGCTGCCCCTCACCGTGGGTCCACCTGCTCTGCCCCCACCCGGTCTGGGGTGGATGCCGGCACCCCACACCTCTGGCCTGCACCGCAGCTCTTCTAGGCCAACTTGTTTTTTTAATAATGTTTGTTTTTACATAATTTTCTGTATTTTTCCGTCTCAGTTGTCATCCCCGTGGGCTTCCCCCTCCCCCCCATTTTTGATCCCTTTCCCCACTCCACCCCCACAAAATGTCTCTGGCATATAGCTGTTCATTATTTTTATTATTTTCTTGCCTGGTCCTTTATGCTCCTGCTATGAGTGACACCATCCGGTGTTTTCCTTTTCTTTCTGCCTGACTTCACTAAGCACGACCCCTTCCGGCTCCATCCATGTTGCTGCAAAGGCATGTGTGTTTGTTTATTTTTTGGTTGCTGAGTCATATTCCATTGTGTACACGTACCACATCTTCGTGATCCAGTCATCTATTTTTGGGCATTTGGGTTGATTTCACATCTTCCCTATTGTAAATAGAGCAGCAATGAACATGGGGGTGCAGGTGTCTTTTTGAATCAGTGTCTTTGTGTCTTTGGGGCAGATCCCTAGGAGTGGGATGGCAGGGTCGTAGGGAAGCTCCATGTTTAGCAGTCTGAGGAACCTCCAGACCGTTTTCCATAGTGGTTGTACCAGTCTGCATTCCCACCAGCAGTGCAGGAGAGTTCCTTTCTCTCCACATCCTCGCCAACATTTGTTGCTGCTGGTTGTTTGACGGATGCCCGTCCTGTGGCTCCCAGCGGGGCGGCGGCCCACCTGAGGTCCCCTGCCCTGTGGTGCCCCCCGCCCCCCGCGGCTAGCCCTGCCCTGGGTGCTCACCTCCAGGGGAGACCCGCAGCTCTCCTTGCGGCAGCTCCCCGGGCTGCCCCGGCTCTTCAGCCCTCCCAGCCCGGTGCCGGTTATCGTGTTCAGTGTAATTTCCGCTCCATTTTCCGCAGAGGGCAGTTTCATCCCTGGTCTGGGAGGACAGAGCTCCTGGCCATCGGCGTGGGCGCCCAGGCCGACCCCTCGCTGCAAGGCACAGCTGGCGGGGGTGGGGGTGGCGCACACAAGCTGGCCGCGGGACCAGCAGGCCTTGTCCAGGGGCAGGAGCGGGCAGCAAGCACCGCCTGGCGACGGCCACTGTCCCTTCCTGGGTCACCCGGAAGCGAGGTCCGCAAGTCCTGCAGCTCCCCGCCCTCGCGAGTCCCGGTCGGGTGGACCCCAACCCCGACGCCGTAGTCTCCCGATCCAAGCGCCCCACCGCGTAAGCCTACGCCGGGGGACGGAGCGCCGGCCGGCGCTCTGGCTGACCGCTGGCCCTCTTTCCGGCTTTCTTGTCTGCCTGGTCACCTACTGGGGTGCTGGGCGTCGGGCGGTCTTAGGCCCCAGACTATTTGGACAGTCTGATTCTGGGGCGCCCACGCTCCCTCGGGGCCAGCGGCCAGTCCTTTGGCCATTCCCCGCCGGCGTTCGCTGGACACTTCCTGTAGCGTGGGCTGACTCGCCCTAGCCGGTGGGGACACAGGCTCCGCTGGCCCGAGGGGCGCCCTCTGCCGACCGTGGGGCTCCCCTGCCACCCCCGCTTCCCGGGCCGTCTTCCGCCCCCGCGGCCCAGCGGGCCGGCCGGGAAGCGCCAGCTGAAGGGAGAGCGGCGAGCGGCGAGAGGCAGGCAGAGCGGCCAGGGTCC